AATGAGTGAAAGTTTTTCAAATAGTTTGATTTGTTCAATGGTACTATTCCAGAGCCTTTTTCCGCGCGTATGATGACCAGATTTTCATTTTTCTTTGGTCTATTCAATTGATTTCGATGTTCTTTTGATCTAAGATGTCGATAGCTGGATTTTCTATTTATATAGTCAAGACAGCAATTTAAAACTTGATTTGAAATGGTTAGCATCATCATATGAAACTGGAACTAGATCCTTGGTTTGACTGATTAGATTTTTGAACTGGACTTTCGTATGGAGCTCGTCGACTTTTGAAGTCACATCAAAGAATTTAGGTCCAAGTGACAAAATTTGCATTTGAACTGGAGATAGGGGATATGTTAGATAAGTTGAATGCATATTTTTCAGGACACGAAGGAAAGGCTGTTTCTTTAGTCATAGACTTTAAGCTTTTACATAGCTTCAGGTCGACCTCACCAGTTCGCTTCTTAGTAATAGTAGCAACGTAGTTCTCAAATTCTATTCTTTCACTGGCAGATAAGTCAAAAAGAGTGTATGATTTTTGTGACAGATTATGTTCGAACTCCCGGTAGTTAGGAACGGACAGCGTCAGTGTGATTGAGAGTGTGTCGCTTCAAGGTACGGGAGTTAGGAGTGTGGTTTCGTCTGAGATTCTTCCAAAACACTTTGGGACACTCATGTTTCTTTGGACATTTCTCCCAGAAGTAAATTTTCGCATTCGCCTCGGCAAGTTTGACGGAAAAACGCAGAAACTTATCCAGTTCCTTTACCGTCTCGCGGTCCTTGCTACTCTTTAAACAGCGGAATACACCCATTTGATCATAGAAAAAGACAAGACATGCTTACAGAGAAGAAAAATGTTTCTTTTTGACGAAGTCATTTACTAAACCTGGCTGCCAAAGGGAGAATGAAAATGTATCTTCAGTTCAATAACAGAACACCTCGTGAACTTAGGCCACTTATCTGGTTTCGAGAGCTCATTCAAAATTCCCTACATTGAATAGTTTAAACTATTCAGTTAAAAAGGTTAATTTTATATTCATTGTTCTATTCGTTACACATATATCAACTTTCACATTATATTTAAAACCTAATAGTCAAGTTTTATTCATAGTCATGAGCCCACCTCTTATATGTAATGGTTTTGTCTGTAGATATCAATTAGTCATTGTTAGTCTTAAGAATTTAAAACGCATTATAACCATGAAAAGTGTGTGTCGTAGAGAGAATCAATGTATGTATAATGAATATATTTACAATGAATATTTACATACCATTGGGTGTAAATAATCATTACAAATATATTTATAGTAAATTTAGAAAGCATTTCATACAAATACTGTCTGAAACATACTTTAACATAAAAACGGTAAGTTACTGACCGAATTTTATCAATTACCTAAGCCTAGAGTATATGAAATTGTTTCATCATCCATCCATGGATATCTTAGACTTATAAACAGGCGGCTGCATGTGGTCTTAAGTAGGTGTCACTTGGAATCTGCGGCCATGCGGGTCTTTTTCGGGTGCCTTAAAGGAAAAATTGCCATGGTTGGGGCAGCCGGGAATAACCGGTCCCCCACACGCTCCCCTAGTATAATAATAGTAATAATAATCGCTTTTGCAAACTTCAGGATCAAAATTTGATCTGATAGAGTTGAATAAGTTGAGCATTGGGTAATCAGATTATAAATGAAATATATTTGTAAAATCCCAGTGAAGTAGAAAAATAATTTTCTGATGTTTCGCAACTTCGTGGAAATCGCTTCTTCAGAGAATAAAACCTGTACAAGTTATCGAATAGTTTAAATAGTAAAAGGTGACGAATCAGATCACATTGTCTATACATGATGAACATATGAAGGTGAATGTCATCGTTATGCTGGTCAGAACGCGTTTACAATTTGTTTTAGTTTATGAGTTAATTAGTCTGGAGTTCAAGGTGATATGAATATATGTATATGTGACTACGTATCTGAGCCAAATACGTGGTTTGCTCAGATACGTAGATGATACTTTCGTGATTTTAAAAAGATCTAGCCTCAAAACCTTTTCGAAGTTAATCAACACTTATTCTCCACGTATCAAGTTCACATGTGAACATGAAAATGCAAGCAGGGAACTACCTTTTCTAGACTGTTTAGTTAAAAGGAATGAAAATGGAAGTCTAAGTGTATCGGTTTATCGTAAACCAACACATTCAAATCGATATCTTGATTTTAACTCAGCACACGCACTCAGTGCTAAACTTTCACTTGCTCAGAACTTATTCAGGAGAGCCACAAAGCTTATCACGAATGAAGACGACAGGCGAACGGAAGTAATATATCAGATATATTGTATTCCAATAACTATGCAAGAAACGTCATTCAAAAGATCCGAAAACATGAACAGTAGGACCCAAGAGAAAATTCAAATGATGATTCTTGGACTGACACAATAGTTTTACCTTTCCGCTAAGGTACAATCGAAGAGTTACAAAGAATCTTAAGAAAGCACCGAATCAGGACCTTTTACAAGACAACCAACACTCTGAGAAATGCTCTAGTCCACGTAAAAGGTAAAGTCCCTTTTACCTCCACACAAAATTGTGTCTACAAATTGGGCTGTGTCGACTGTGATGCTTATTATATTGGAGAATCACCCATGAGATCCTCATTAGGGCTAAAGAACATGCAAGCTACACAAAACGACCGCCAAATAATCCCGTAGAACTAGGAAACCTACAAATCAAGTCGGCGGTTGCTGTTCACGCCATATATCACAGTCACAAAATCGATATTGATAATATTAAAATTATTCAAAAAGGTTTTTCAAACTACAAAGAGAGAAGAATAGCAGAGGCATTTCACATTATGTTGAATCCTAATGCACTCAACAGAAAGGAAGGCCTAACTATCCAACCAACCTGGACAGTATTCCCAGAAACAACACATCACACACAATGATCTGGTCAAAAGCACATACATACAAACAAACCGAATTTTTTGTCATCCATACTATTTATTTTTTTTTTTTTTCACTAACAGTCACATATACACATATTCATATCACCTTGGACTCCAGACTAATTAACTCATAAACTAAAACAAATTGTAAACGCGTTCTGACCAGCATAACGATGATATTCACCTTCATATGTTCATCATGTATAGACAATGTGATCTGATTCGTCACCTTTTACTATTTAAACTATTCGATAACTTGTACAGGTTTTATTCTCTGAAGAAGCGATTTCCACGAAGTTGCGAAACATCAGAAAATTATTTTTCTACTTCACTGGGATTTTACAAAATATATTTCATTTATAATAATCGCTTTATTCTAAACAATATATGTGACAATATGGAATTCTCAGCATGTGATTTTTCAACAAATTAACTCTCACAACAACAGAAATGCAAGCTTAATTTTGTTGATGGTTCATTCAGACGTTACAATTATCTGCAACTCTAGCTAAGCATCTGACGGATCGAAATTTGATGTACTTTTTCCCACCGAAAAGTCCATTTCGCTATAACGTAACGTAGAGTTGGAAACAGTTTAAAAATGTGCATAAGAACATGATATACTCAAAGAACATATTTAAATGGTTAGAACAAATTGAAAGGAAAGAATTTGATGAAAAATGTTCGATGGATAAATTTTGCTAGCCCAAGGTTCATGCAGGCCGCCAACTCCAAAACCCAATAATACGTAACCTAGCCTCCTTACTTTTTTCTCTCTCGCTTAAGTCTACTACAACTTAACTTCTTACTCTCCGACCATTGGTAACGATCCAAGCCAGCAAAACACCATTCCTAGTCCACTATAACCCCGATTTTGATTCAACATTCTATGTCCGAACCCTATGCTAAATTCGACCGCAGGCATCTTCTGACAGAATTCTGAAATGTTGAGCCGTTTAGATATGCTGCGTTTCTGAGACGCGTGTGCAGAAACCAAGTGTGGCTATTCACTTAAACTCATTTGGTTAATATAGTGATTTTGAAAGATTAACTTCAAGTTTGTCCGGAAAGGCGTCTTGAGTGTGTCTATCGAATCCCATGTCAACGAACCGACAACGGTGATCGTCTTTTTGGATTTTGTTTGGACAATCACCTGTTTCTGGCCAGCACTACGTTCATGCACAAGGAGAGACGGTGTCTCACCTGGGGTCCTCTGAAATCAAACGAACTATGGACACATGTAGGTCATATTGTGGCAGGCCATCGTTGTAGAGGATCGATGTAGGATTGCCGCTCTTTCTGGAGTACCTGTTTGAACTCCGATCCCGCGTTGATGTGGGTACGTGTATGTTTGCACCTAATCGGTCGCAAGAAACAGGTGGCGATGAAACCCGTTTGCGCTTGACTGGAAGATAAGAGCATCAAGTATTTAAGGAGGAGGTGGCTACCATACAAATACCTCAGAATGATCCTTCAGACAATATCTGCACATGAGTTCATATACAAGCGGTATAATAATCAACTAGTAATTGCAAATGCTAATAGCTATAAAAAACTAGACTGAATTTAAACTGTCTGAAGAGTTCCACCATTGGTCTTAGATTTCTTGTGAAATTATGTGTGTGACAATTTTCTACATGATTCATATCAACAGTTCATTTGTCTTACTTTCTACTTTAGGTAACTTTGCTTTACACTGTATATAGTTGGTTGAATGCTTTCTATACACAACGCTGTCTCTCGTTGATTGGCCGAAATTCGATGAAACTGTTTGTTGCTTTATATTGCTGAGATGTAAAGTGAAGTACATTTGTTTAAATTAAGGTTTCTTGGTGCATGATGATGATTACACCTTTATAAGATCTCAAAGGTAATCTGAACTTGTAGACCAGATCAAAACGTTATCACTAAACTTTTTTATACTGTGAAAGGGTTGCACTTATGTTTTATATTTTACGCATAACTTAAGGTGAAATTAATCTTGATTTTTTAGTACTATTCAAAATGATGAGATGAGATCGATATTATCCAATATATTTGTATTTTTTCTTTTAGAATCAACGATACACTTTTGATCCATTCGAGCTAACTAATCATGCTGTTCTATTAGTTGGTTATGGTGTGGATAAGTTATCAGGTGAACCGTATTGGAAGATAAAAAATAGTTGGGGTCATGGATGGGGTGAACAAGGATTTTTCAGAATACTTCGTGGTAGAGACGAATGCAGTGTAGAAAGTTTAGGTGTTCGTTTCGATCCTGTTTTATAATGATTCTAACACTATGTGCACTTGTATCTGTGTACATCTCTTTTTTCCCATGTTGGCTTACACAATAATGAACGTGCGCTCTGTTTTGATAGATGGGGAAACCTATTCATTGAAATTACATGTTTTTCGTCTCACCTACATTTGATTTCAGTTACTTTGAAATAGATTGAAACGACTTCTTATTTTCCTATCTAATCATTATATATATATATATATATATATATATATATATATATATATATATATATATATATATATGATTAAAAGTGAGAAGTCATAGAAGCCGGTGACTTTTCCTACTTGTTATTAATTATATGGATATTTCCTCTTTAAATATCTTTTTTCCCATTACGTTTCCGTACGATAAAATAACCTATCAATAATTCCGCAGTTCTTTCTTTGTTATTTATTCCAGTGTCAGTTGGAGTGCTTCTAAAGGCCATCTTAGTAGCCAATGAAATAATTAACTAGGTTTTTCTATTTTATTGAAAAAAAAAACTACCTTTCCTGTTGAAATAAAGAATCTGTAATCACGGATGTTTTCTTTTATATATCATCAATAGTTGACCAATAGCTAACTTCCAGTCATCAGTAGCGTAGACTCAATTCATTTCGTATCATTTTCACGTTCATATTTCCTATCATCACTTTTTATCTCTTTGTTTCTAGCTATTCTAGTGTAAAGTGTGACAATTGGAACACTTTCTTGAGGGGAATTTAACTGTCCAGTTAATGACAATAGTGTCTTTTTTTTGCTCCTCTTGAGAATTGCTGTGCTAATATTCGCTATTATTTTTGCTACCAGCTATAGACAAACTAACGGATTGATCAAAACCCTTGAAGACCGACAGTTAAATGTTTCTCACATCATTTTGTTCTTACCTTGCAGGTAGTTCACTGTTATGTGAATAACTTTTTGCCTAAGTTACTTAGACTCACTGTTATGTCAAAATTAGCTGTTCTAATCTGTGTTACAAGTAAGAGACTGCAATGAAAGTTTTCGATGCTTAAATTGTAAGATCTATTGTGTAAAACGTTCTGAACTACATTTTCATCAACAGGACGAAAGGAATATACTTGTGATGAGTCTAAAATTAAGCGGTTGTCAGTCGGTCTTGCTTTGATAAGTATCTGGGCATTTTTATTTGTGAATGGTTCGAAGCAATCAGCAGGAAGTCCTCTGAAGCATTTACTTGTGTAAAACTGAAAGAAATTGTAAAAGAAACATCCTATGTTTGGAACATATACGTGGTGTTTTCCCAATAAGTAACTTAAGCCAGTGTACGCCACTTATTCACCCATACTAGTTTTAGTTCAAATAAGGTTGCTTTTCGTTCGTTCCTTTGTAGTCTGCATAGGCTTTTATTGCTAGTGTAAAGCGACGCTAAGTTCCCTCTATGTTGTTTAAAGACACAACTGAAATCAAGCCATGAATAAAAATACTGAAGACAAAATAAATGTCGACATATGCCTGGTTTGTTCAAGTTATTCGAGAACACAAAGAAGAAACATCCTGATCAACAGATTTTATTTTGTGATGTTTTGCAAAAGACGTACAGAACGCTGAAAGTTGATGACATCAAAAGAAAATAAATGATTCAAAGACTTAGCCGCTATGGACAAAGAATAATTCAATCGAGAAGTGAGTGACTATGTCCCTCCAAATGGCATGAAAAACGGAAAAGCGTAAAGGTTTTAAAGACCCCATAGAAGCGTGGTCTGCCTTCGTTTTCTTCTGTGATGAGTTAGATGCTGAAGTTAGAGAGAATAACCCAGATTAGAAATTTGCTGATGTCGCCAAAGAACTTGGCTCAATATGAACTTGTGGCACAAAAGGACAAACAGTATTCTGAAGAAGATATAATAAAATACCTAACAAGTACGTATGTTTCAGCGCAAAATAGTTGCCGGTTCAGTCTCAAACGCCACATCTTTAGGAGGATCTGAAACACAGAATTTAAATTGCAATACAATCACGTGTGTGTGAATGATGAGAATGGTGCAGAGTCAGCGGATGAAGATGATGGGAAAACTGATGAGGGTGAGGAAGAGTGAACCTGAAGAACAAGTGATGAAAGAGTTACCTGAACTATAAATTATCTTCACTGAGGTGCTTGACTGTGGTGATAATTGTGGTATAGTATGACTCAGCTGCCCAAAAATCCACCTTGATAATAAGTTACGATCCATATCGGAAGCTAAATAAGTTTATCTTTGTCTAACCTTAGTTATTAAATATTCATTCCTCTTAACAAGGAGCTGCTATTTCGACTCTATGCTTAAGTTTTTCTAATAAGTGAATATATGCATAAAACTGCCAAAAATTCCATTGGACTTCCAAGTCATTCTAGTTCCAGGTAGAATGTTAATTCCATGTTTGTCTGTTGGATGTATCATACAGCGAAACAGTATTGTTTACTGGGTATTTTTTCTGATACAGTTTATTATTGGTAGTCATAGTTCATACGACGCACTTTCGTACAACAGAAATCAGTCAGCGATAGTAAATGCGAATTTTGATTTGTCAATATTGTTAATGCTTACTAAGCAAAGGCAGAACGACATACTTTGACTCAACTACAAAGCCTACTAAATCGACTAAGCTGTCAACTTCTTAAAAACACACTTTTAAAGATAGATATTCATAGAATTGAAGTACAAACGGAAGTGGTTTTATTCTGAACAATCAGTTGATCCTTTATTACAATCTTCCAAAACTTTACTCATATACCTTGGTTATTTGTTTGTGTTTACTACCAATATCCAGTACTACCAAACACAGATGGCATAGTTAAAACGAAGCTTTTGTAATTCGGAACAAAACAATTAAACATGGAAGTTCCTATTAGGAAGTATATAATCTTTTAATTCCCTATTAGATTTGTTTATTTGATTTATAACAATGAAACACAGTATCATTTGACTAGATGACGTTTCGAGTAAAAATTATTGCTCATAATCATATCAATGTAATCAAACCACTTTCGACACCCGATTTTTATAGTCCTGTCGTCTCATACTATTTGTTTTTCTTTGTAGTAAAATTTCCCATATCTCTGGTATAGTTGTTGCATCATTCCTGTTACATATGTGGAGTGTTGATTCGATGAACAAAGATTCAGTAATCAATCCCTCTCCATCTAACTATGCGGTGTTTTTATCCCACCCTACTGTGTGGTTATGTGGTAGACATTTGACTAAACCACCCTTAACTGACTGACATTGGATGAGATGACCTGAAGTCTAGATACTTGTTAGGACGTGTTGGTTTCCTGTAGGTGGTAGTATCCAAACCACCATCTGTTCTTCGTTTTATCCTGCAATTCAACATAGGTAATTCTTCTTGTTCATTTTCTACCTCATAAGTGAATTGGATCGCGTCCACTACTGAGTTTATATGTGTGAGGAAACTGTCAATTTGTTGCGATTTCAACACAAATATGTCATCCACATGTCACCATCATATCTTAGGTGCTGGATTAAACGTTAGTAAAGCCATATTTTCCCAACCATCCATAAATATATCTGCTAGGATTGGGGATATTGGTGATCCCATAAATTCTGCTAGGATTATTAGACTCACCTTTTGTCAATTAGGAGAGATGCTCTAGAATTCTGAAGAAAATGCCTGCTCAGTGCAATTCAAGAAAACATGAAACATTTAGAGGCGGTCGTTTTTATTACTAAACATTGATTTGAGTAGTTTCAGAGATTAATGTTTATATCTAACACCTATTAAAGCTAGAATGCTGTAGTCTCAGAAATTCCAGTTATTGAAATGAGAATGATTAAAAGAGCAAAAGAGATATGCAGTATAACTCCATATACATATCTCCAGGGCTTTTCACTACATAACGAGCTATGCCTATTATATTAGAGCTGTCGATAAAACTTTCTTGCCCTTACCCTGGTAGATGGAACACTATCCGAGCCTGCAATCCAATGAAATTCGATATCATTCTGTTTTTGCTCTTTACTTATCATTAATTCAACACTTTCGTAACAATTATACCTAATAAAAGTTATATTCCGTGTTCCCCACAAGCAGACAAACAAACATTTAGATTTTTCGGTGTAAATATTCCCATAAATACTAAAAATCTTTTATTCTTGACATTCAAATAGTATCATAATGCACAAATAAAATATTACAGTAGCTATGAAGACTTTACTTTTAATCACTATGATTATCCACATTAAAAAGTGCCTATACGAATATAGATGATGTTATCATAAGTCTAAACTATCGAAATGTATGGTTTACTGTAATTTCTTAATTATTAGTTTATTCCTTTTAACAGCAGATAACCATGAATCACACTTTGGCATTGTTATCTTAACTCATAAAGGAATGATTCCCAAGATGACTAATATACATGTGGAAGAATAGCTGTAAACCATACTTGATATGTAGTTATCGCACTAAAATTCCAAATTGATGGGATGTGGTAATGAAAGGCAGTGCAGACCTTTTTCATTGAGGTAGGTTTTATTTTAAGCGCACCTATGAAATTTTGCATCTAGCGAAGCGTAAGTTGTGATGCTTACTGGATAATAGATCTAAGTGAATCATCCTTTCAAAACAGCATCTAGGTAATAATTATTCGATTTCCTGATTATTTCCACAAATATCTAAGCTATAAGCAATGATTATCTGGATTATCTTTAAAGGCCACCACAGCAGCGAATGAAATAGCTAGTTAGATTTCTTTATTTCGGTTGGAGGAGCAAATCAAGAAGTCCGATTGATTATTTTAATTGTTGTCATAGTGGCCTTTAGAGTTGCTGGATTTTCTGACTAGCTATTTCCAGGCTTTTTGTACTTCAGGCGGTATTAGGTGTAATGTTACTCGTAAGTCATGTAACCAGGATGTTATTTCAAATAAAGGGGACATAACTTGCAGTGAAGATAAACCCTGATCCTTCTTCCAGTGACTTCTAAAGGTAACTCAGCTTATTCGTGTCATGGTAAAAGTATGGGTGCTGATATATTGAGTCGATAGGCTGTAATGCTCAGTATAACGTCGCATTTGACCACCTAATTAATGTGTAGGATACTCAGAGGTTGTGGCCATTTGATCATAAGCGTCCTCGAAGCGGTGACTGGTTCAAATGCAACCAGACAGTGAAGAGTTGACAGATTAAACACGGTTCTCAACAAACAAGATAAATCACTGGGGACTTTGAACCCGCATCAACTGAAGAGGTCAAGAAACATGTTGTAGATAACAAATCACCACGTACACCGACATGTATAATTACGCAGAGTAAAATTACCCTAGAAAAAAGATTATAATGTCCAGAATAAGATATAATATCAATTTATGAATTCTCTGTTTGCTTGTATACAGTGTCGTTACATCAGCTTCCTGCTTTGTATGAACATGACGACCAAATTCCATCGTTTAAGTATGTCTATGATATTGCTCCAAATTCATGACAGTGGTACAACTTCAGCCATGAATTATCTTTATTTAGATCCTAAACTCATGATCAATGTGTATCGTCATACCTTTTTATACTCTTGCTTTCTTTGTTTTCTTTTATTTCTTATTGTTTTCATCTACTTTGATGTGAACTGTGGAGATGAATAGACAAGTGCCTGTAGGCAATCTTATTTCTTCTATCTTTCCAAATAGAAGTGACAGCAGTTTTACTGCTGATAGTTTTCCTTTTGTGTTAGCAGAATACGGCGGTCATATTCAGTGCATTCAATCATTATGCTAGATATCTCTTTAGTTTTGTTTTCTCCCAGAAATATTCTTCCGAATTCCATGCTCCTGATTGTACAGGTAACTTATAGACTGTTTCACTAAAACTGTATTCAAGATAATAATAGAATGTTGATTGGATTGTCAGTTTTCATTGGTTGATATGATTTGTTCGTCAAACTGATATCGATATACCCTGGTATGATAGATAACTGACTGACAAAACCAACGTAGAACCTCGCACAGGAGTGGATTGGCTC